TCGTCCCCGTAGAAATGCCCTTATTCATTTCTACCTGAAAAGCCTTATTATAAATTATGGTAGAGTGCAAAGTATTTAGAATTTCTTTTTAAGTAGTAAGAGTATTTTCTAATCACTAGAAAAGAAAACTATCGGAACAGTCCTAAACCACAGGTTAAAGCTACTTTTACCTTTCTTACTCGTACGTAAACATATTTTCCTACGTTACGAGATAGTAATTCATCTATAGCTAAACTATCCGTTTGAGCTTCAAGTTAAAAGTCGCAAACGTATTAACTGGTTTTTTCAAGGTCGAAGAGTTAGTGACCAAGTACACCGATGAGAACCAGACCTTGTTCTCTGGACTGCGATACGACCACAAGAAACCTGTGCTACAAGGGGACCCGGATCTACTGTTGTACCACACTTTTAGATATGTGAGTACATGTATGGTTTTGAAGTAAGTCAGACGTCGCTTACTCTTACAGAGCGAGCCACAGTTTGGAGCAGAGACGCGAAAGAACGTCTGTCGTCTCTAGCGTGTACCTACAATAACTCGCAGTTCCGTCCCAAAGACTTTGGAGGACACCCCAAAATTTTCTTGAGCCCATTTTGCAATGCGAACTCTACATAGTCCACTAGTCTCTCCGGAGTCCGGACTAGGGTAGTGTAACTTACTTGCATAGCACACTGCGAAGTGCGTTTCTGAACACCATTTGTTATGGAGCGATGTAGGGAGATTATTATTAATCATTACCATTTTTCATGATTTCAGGCGACTAAACTTAAAACTGAACTTTGCGAAGCGTCAGCGGGCATGACTGAGAGAATCAATCGAGGACTCGAAAGTAAGTGAAAATAATTCAAACGTAACTAGCTTCTTTTTAGGCTTTAGCAAGAGTTAAAATAGAGGCAGAGATCATAATGTTAATCTATCCTTTTAGCGCTACCACAAACCGAGAAAGACCTGAAAAATAGAAACTACGCGATACAGGCCGAATACAAAAAGAGGAAGTATGAGTTGGACAGGGAATACAGGAAACGGGTATGTTTTTAGACATTTATTTATAAGCCTAATATTAAGATATTAACAACTAAATGTTTGTTCTAAACCTGTAGGCTGATGACCAAAGAGCCAATAACGATAAGACTCTGAAAGACGCTTTGAAGAAGCAGCTGGAGAGACACGAAGAGCAATTGCAGATAAAGTTGGCGCAGAAGGAGAAAGAGGTACATACATTTTCTAGATCTGCAGGATGGTTCTAGGTAATATAATTTATGAGTACCAGAAAACGAATATAATGTAAATATTACCTACATCATTATCATTAAGGTTTTGATTATAATCTGAGTTTGTATGACCTACAAAAAACTATAGACCAACCCTTCTGGCCAGTATGTAGCGTGGGGAAAGTAGGTATGATGGCAGCCATGGTGAATTACGTAGTCGGAAAACTAATTGTTTGGGGTTCACCGGTGACTCACGTAGCATTTCGTCTAACAAGAACAACTTACCTAACCTAAAGGTGATTATTTGCACATTTTGTAGACAACAATAAAACTGAATAAGATGGTAGCAGAAAAAGTGGCTGCTGAGAAGAAAATATTCGCGAACCAACTCGCTGAAATGGCGGCCAAGCTGAAGATCGTTGAAGACAAATTGAATGGTTTGATTTAAATTGGTATTTGGAAACGTAGAGTACCAGTACAAGAGTAGACTACCTATTCTAACGTATGTCCAGAATTTAGACAAGAGGACCAACTAACGGAAACCTTGGGGGTAAACTTCAGAGTACTCAAAAATGTACAAAGTCAATCAATTTACAATGAGACTCTAGTTGACTCTACAGTAGTTTTTAAAGCATTAATAATAATACTTTGTTGCACAAGTAACGAAAACCATGCAATCATATAACTTTTCTACTTACTTTATAATATTTGAAGTGATTTTATTGATATTTTTCTTAAAAATCATTCAGCAAGGCTAAAGGCAGAGAGAGAAACCCGCCGCTCGCAGCAACTATGGGAAGCCGGTGCGTCTCTACTCGCAGCTACCAAGAAAGGAGACAAGGTCATCAGGGTTGACAAGGAGCTGAAGGCAATCGAGAACGCCTCAGGTAACCTTAACTTCGAACTCCTCCTATTCTTCTTCTTGTTGTGTCGACAACAAACCTACACAGTGTCAGCCCAAAACTCCGTCACAAGAGTGATGTTGTCAGTAGCCTTAATTAAATCTTTTTGCGAGCAGTTGTTTGGGTACGCAGGGCACGACATCATGCGCTTCGTCGACTGGGGAACAAAACCATACTTATTGCACTCCAAGTTCTCCTCCTATGTTCTTCTGATTAATTTCGTTGCGGGTCCAATGACAGTTTAACTTTCCCCGGGACAAACTTGGCATTCAATAGTTAAGTTTTTATTGGCGGTAAAGTTTTAGATCCTGGCTGTACAGGAGTAGCAGTGGTGGGAAAGTATGGTGGGAATAGTCCCGTATTCAGGTAAGCGTAGCTGAAATAACTGGGTCCTGGTAAAGACGATTTTAACGTAAGCATGTTGGTACAATAAGCTAAAAACTGTGAAATTGTCCGAACTTCATGTTATCAGCAGCAATTCATTCAGAAAGATGACTGGCAGCATTTGGAAGAAAATAGCTGAGGAACATGCTCAGTTAGCCATCATTTTGTAATTCCTTGTATTGAGTTCGTCTCTTGCACTGATTCTTCTCATCTCATTAATCGCGCATCGCTTGCAGATGGACGTGCCATCTGCTATTATTGTTTAATAATTATTACAATGCAGACAACAAAATCTGTGTTAAAATAAAACTGTGCCGGCGCATGCACTGTCATGCACTTATGTGACACACTTACCTAGTGCAGTGTTGTTAATTGAATTTTAATTAAAAATGGAAAGTCCCTTTAATCGAAGTACAATGACCAGCCGAAGCCCGCCTCCACCACAGAGAAGACCAACTGAAGAAGACTCTACTCCCGCGACATCAATAATTGAAGTTGTATCGACCGAAGAAATCCAGAAATGGATATCCTCCATTGAGAAATGCCTTAACGACATATGCTATACATCAGGAGAAGGTAAACTGAACACAGAACAGAAGCTGAGAATCAGCAACACAAGCAGAAACGTGTTGGGTGGTGTCTCTCAATTGGCTGTGCAATATCAGTCACTAAAACAGAAATATATCTCAGCCCAATCAATGATCAAAACATTAATTGATCAAAAGGAGTCATCTACCGCACTAGGAGATCAGATCGAGGACCTAAAAGTATCTATTCGCTCTACCCCAAAGGTTGAACAACCGAATGTATCTTTTGCCGACGTGCTGAGAACCAGTAAGAGCTCTATAGTAAGACCACCAAGCACCAGTAACATTGCTATTTACCCAGCTAGCAAAGATAAGACCAGTGAAGAGACTAAGAAACTTATTCAGACCATCATCAAGCCGGAAGAATTAAAACTGCATATCCGAGGGATGAGAAAAACCAGAGGTGGGGGTATTATAATCAGCGCTGAAGGCAAAGATGACCTTGAAAAATTGAAAAAATCAGAACTGCTGAAAACATCAGGTCTCAACGTAGAAGAGACCACAAAACGAAGGCCCAAAGTGATTTTGTTAGGAGTGCCCACCAACACATCTGAGAAGGATGTTTTTGAATGTCTCTACGAGCAAAACATCTCGGGTAAATATCAACACATTGACCGCAATAAGTTCTTAAGTTCTATTAAACTAAGCCACAAAACTGGCAAAAAAGACGGGCCCTACTGCAACTATGTGCTAGAACTTACTTCAGAACTGCGAAAAATTTTCATAGACCAGGAGAGAGCATAACATTGACCGCAATAAGTTCTTAAGTTCTATTAAACTAAGCCACAAAACTGGCAAAAAAGACGGGCCCTACTGCAACTATGTGCTAGAACTTACTTCAGAACTGCGAAAAATTTTCATAGACCAGGAGAGAGCATACATTAATTGGACCTCCTGTCCAGTTAGAGACTATACACTTGTTACAAGGTGTTACAAGTGTCATCAATATGGTCACTCAGCAAAATTCTGCAGAGAAACTGAATCCACTTGTGGACACTGTGGCTGCGCTGGACACACAATCAAGGAATGCTCAAAATTACTAGCACCTTCGACCTGTGCCACGTGCCGGCGCTTCAATAAACCAAGCCAGCACAATACGGGAGCAGAGAGCTGCCCTGCAAGAAAAATTGCTGAAGCAAGATACATGAGCTCAATTAATTATGAGGGCGCATAAGGGGGCCGCAAAGGCCGTTTACTTAACGCAGTCCAAAGATGTGCAATTACACTCTTAGGAATATTTAGTTATGTGACTCGCGATCGTATTATTTGTTTACACACAGAAACTATTTCAATTGTAATAATTATTTATTTTAAGAGTAGGTCAATGTAAAAATAATGCTTAGTAAGTAAGTAGTTAAGTATAGCAGTAAATGTAACCTACTTATTCTGAGTTTGATAATCTATTCCAATATTGTATAGTCAGCACTTTTTAAACAGATACCTAAGATACAGGCAATAAATTTTGCTTAGTTTAGGTATCATTAATTACTTACGCACACTAACCTTAATTTTATCGAAACCAAACTTGTACGTGTTTAGGCTAAGTTTTTATACAGTAATAAATTTATTCTTATTCTTATTCTTATTCTTCATCACTGACCGACATAATTTTCCCTAAGCAGTGGCGTAGTGGTGGCGTAGTCCACACTACGCCACTAGGTGAACCGACAATCTGGTGAAGGTTGCGGGAAGTACCTGGATGCGGGCAGCGTAGCCGTAGGACCGGTCTTTATGGAAATCCTGAACGAAGTGGGGCTTTTAAAAGCATGATTGCATAAAGCAAATGACTCTATGACTGAGGTAGATGATTAAGATAAAGGCTGTTTGTAACATTTTACAGGCGATGATGACAAATTGGTCAAGACAGTCCTCAAAGCGATTCCGGAGTCGGTGCGCACCAACGGCATAGTTCCAGAAAGCGTTCTGAGAGAGAGGTACCATAGAGTAAGTATTTAACGAAGTCCTACACTAGATTATAGTCCACAGAGGAAATACTCGTAAACTGTTTGTAAAAATGCTGGTCAAAATTCTCCCATCCATCTTGGCTCAACATCAACTAAAATAAAATCCTTTTAGCTTCTTTCGCCACTCTTAGCAGAATGGTGTTTTTCTCCAAAATCTGTAACATTCTTCCTTCATTCAGGAATTTGTAAAATTCTAGTGTTTTGTTTATTAGTGTTAAATATACATACAGTTTAGGGTAAAAAAGCGTTTAGATTTTAGACGAATCTCATAATGCGTATGTACAAATAAACAAGCGTACAATAAGGGCTACAATCGCTAATAATAGCCGAGAAGTTGTACGTGGTGACAGATGGAGAAGGCGGCGCTGAGGGTGGCCTTGGTGGAGCAGGATGGGGGGCCGCTGCCGATCTACTTCCTGTCCTGGCTGCAATCCATGATGCTCTTTATGAAGGTATGTCCGCATCACGACTGTTCAACCCCGACCCCGAGACAACTAGACCCGGTAACTCGATCGATCCCCGACAACTTCACCATATGACAACTCGATCTTCGACACAACTTCGAGTCCTGACTGTTTGACCCCGATATATCTCGATTTTCGACCTAGATAACTCCCGAGTCGAATTCTGACGACTTGACCCCGACGACAAGAAGGCAGGTTCAAATTCAATTCCAATTTTCATTATGTAAATCCTCCATTTGCCTCTGGTAAATTATTAGAGGGTCGTGGTACTTGTGGTGGCTAGTGCTCCTGCAGTAGAGAAAGACT